ACACACACACACACACACACACACCCACACACACACACACACACAGGCACACCCCCACCCCACACATAGGTTTCAGCTAAAGAACAGAGGGGCTTGGCTTTGTTCTGGTGTGCTCCTGGATGAACTCTTGAGGGCAGATCTTGACTTGAGGGTAGGCCACCTCCATGGATGCTGCTTGATGTTTGCTTGAATGTATTTTTTTAATCTTTCTCTTTTAAATAATACAGTTTTAAACTACTAATCATTGTTTTTAGTCGTCATTTTATGTTGGAACTCAATGAGCAATCATTAGGCTTTAAGAGACTGTGCTACAACATCATTATTGACTGGTTTTGCCAATAATAGTTTGTTGGTTTGTGTTTCTAGCTGCTGGAAATCAAATATCTCATACGTTATAATAAGGGTGTTGAATGGAGTGTTGTTTTTCTGATGTTTGCAGCTGTATTAATAAGAAAAACAAGGCAAGAATAGAACTAGGATTCAACCTGGACTTGAACCTGGAACAGTGCTGTTGCGTGGGCAGCATGGAGGAACCTAGTTTATGTCAAAAATTGAAACTTTATAGAGGACAGATAATGTAAGGACTGCAAGCCCACAGAGCAAAGATAAAATTCAACCATGTGTTGTGTCTTTTTTTGTTTTTGGTCTTTTTTTATTTTTGGGTTTATGAAGCAATCTGTCGTGTAAATTCATGCAAAATAAAATGTTCATGTTGCAACTTACCAACAGAGAGCATATTCCCTCGCTCTCTTTCAAGAACTGTCAGTGACAAAATTGTTAGTCCTGTCGTTTTCCTGTGTAACCATCTCTTACTGTTATCTTCTCAAGATTTCTGCTGTTTTTTGAACTTGCTTTACTTTCCACTGCAAATGCAGATACTTATTGTTTTAAAAGTTGATGGAAAACAGAAGGCTGCCATTCCCTCCATCCTCCTACACATTTATTCCTGACATCACAGAGTGTCACATTCAAACCTGTGACGCTATTGAAGCCCATCAGCCTTCCTGAGACATGTCAAGATGCTGACATTGTTTTTGCTTCATTATCCAGCCCAGTACTGTTCAGCTGAAGCAGGATATCATGTTGTGTGTATTTAAAAGCCAAATTCCTGCTCTAAATATGATCACGTGGACAGAGACTGCAAATCGGTTCTTATGCTTTGAGCATGGTTGATAGCAGAAAAGAATGTTTTGACTGCATTAATGCAGGACACAATCTGCATTTTCCTTTACCTTCCAAAGCTTTTTGGCACTTGTTTTTTTTTTTCTGTTTTGTGTACATGGTTCTTCACAGGCAGTATTGTTAACTGCTGAACTTAACAGATTGTTTAACAGCAGCTGGTAGAGACCAAAAACCAATAAATCAAATAAATATTATAGATTACGCCAAAAGCCTACAAGTGTAATTCCTAAAAAAAGGAGTTATTTTTTAAGTTCAAGATGCATGAAGTCTTAATTTTAACCATGAATTTGGGTTGATGGTATTAGCTATAAGAAGTATTTTACCAGCTGTAGAGGTCAGACTCAGAGAAATTCTCGTAAATTTCTGTCATTTAAAATAATGTCAACCCCACATTTTCTGAGACAATTTTTGTGATTGCTCTATTAGGTATTTTTACATTTTCTCACTTCAGTATTTAACAGTTGTTTAATGACATGGTCACTCTGTTCCCAGCTAAAATATATCAATCTTGCTCTGCCTAATAGCATGCACAGTGGCCAGTTCTGCAGGTTATATATAAAAAACAAAGGAACTCCTGGTGCACTTTCCATACTACTCAAACAGTTCTTATTCTACTCTAGATATGGGAGCAGCACACCAAGTGGGCAGAAACACAGAATTTGTTTAAACTCCTCCTTCACAGCTTGTCATCACTTCTAGCCGGTTCACACACCGGCTGACTGATAAGGAACAGATCCAGTGGTCACTTACAGTTTGTTTGTTTTGTCCAACTCCTTGTCTTAATTTACATGTTTATGTTACCATTTCTTTTTCCTGCTAGTGAGTGGGATTTTTTTAAAAATGTAACTAGGTACAATACATGAAATAAAACATGCTCAAGTAAAAGTATAAGTACATATTGGATTAATTACATAAAAGGTACAAAATACACAAAATTCTTTCTCAGTTGCAGTGAATGCTATTTGGTACTTTCATCCTTGAGACCTAACAATTTATATAAAAACAAACAAAAAAAAATACAAAAATTTCTGTATAGATGTTTGAGTAGCCTTAAACAACAAATTACTAAAAGTTTTAAGGAAAAGAAGCCTAAAAACTAAAACACAACACTTGATTTTATGAAGTAGAAACCATTCAAATTTATTAGCGTACAAAAATAATCCAAATAACAGCTAGCTTTCATCAAATCCTAAAATAGTTTCTCCATGCCAGTGTTATCTGGGGAATGCTCTACATTTAGCTTCAGTGAGATAGAAGCAAAGAAGGCTGTTGAGTCTGGAGGGAAAACTATGCCTTATAAATGCCACAAAAAGACATAGGCCGCTGCTACTCGGCCCCCCCGGTGGGGTGTGCGGCTGGCCGCCGGCGTGGTGGGGGTTCCCGGGGTCTGGGGCTGGGCGCTGGGGTGTGTGCCGGCCTGGCCTGGTGACTGCCTGTTGGGGTTCGGGGCCTCTGGGCCTGTCGGGCTTTGGCCTGGAGGGGGTGCGCCCTGGGGGCCCGGACCTCTGTGCCCTTTCCTGGATCTGCTTTGGTATGGCAGGTGCCGGTGGGGCCCATGAGATTGTCGCTGCTGGCCCCGGGGGCTGTGCGTGTG